CACAGGATAGGAAGAATGAGAGAGCAAGAGCTAGTAACACAAAGTCTTTCATGCTAAAGCTTGCAAGACTCTGTGACAAAACTAGGCACTAGCTGCCTCATATTTATACTAATCTGCATGTTGCCCCATGCCTGCATGCATGCATCTTGTTATGCCACATGATTTTGTAAAAGATTGTGCCTAATTTCAGTTTTAGTGTGCATGTATCTTGACACTTGTGTAAACAGTATACACTGTCAAGCACATATATAATGGTTTCAATAAAAACATGAATGTTTTCTTACAAAGAAAAACTTGTCTTAAAGTACCATTAACAGTGTTAGTTTCAAAGAAAACAAAGCCAATAGCATGACTTTGATAAACAATTTGGGATAAAATGTTTTGTAAATTGTCGCTTAAAGGCTCAATAAACTTATGACCAAAACATATCAAGCAGAAAATGTTTTGCTAAATTAGGCATCATATACATCAGTTGCTAATGCACCTGTACAATGTACAACAGTAAAAGTACACTGTAGGGTAGCATTATCCTTCTATCTACTTCACCTCACTAAGACTTATAATTTGTACATGTATGTACATGCACTGACACTCCCTCATTATCTTACTATTATTAATAATTCGTCCTTTATCAAACTGTAAAGGAGATGATGCTATTTCCCAAGGAGAGCTTCATTGTAATGTGAAGAAATAACTTCAAAAAATGTAGTAAAAATACATGTGTGTAATGTATAGACACAACATTGACTATTAAATTCCTTTGGAAGATTCTTTTTTAGCCATTTTTGATGTATGCAGGGTTTTTGGCCCAGGTCTTTGTGCAGTGATGTGAGTGTATCATTGCTGGTGATTTAATTGGATATCTTTTTGATTCATTATTTTTTAAGAAATGAAAACACTTATATGCTACACTAATAAAAAGCTTAAACTCAACTATAAAAAAGAGGAGTCCATTAAAATGATCACATCAGCTTTCAATGATGATTGAAGAATAACATTTTGACCTTCTTGTTGAACAGGAGCATCGTGAGGCTCCATACTGGCTACCCTTGCAAAGGACATTGAGGAAATGCCTTCCAGTACAATTACAAGCATAACACAGACCAAATAATTTCTCTCTTCTATTTACTAGGCTCCAAGTATGTGATAGTTTAGGCCATTTTTTCTTTTCTGTCCAAAAAACCTGTATATTTGTGACAAGAGTGAATGGATGAGAAAGAGAGAGAGAGAAAAAAAAGAAAATAATTTTGTCATTACTGAATTATTACTGTTAATATCACCTTGCACTTAAACCGTTTACACAAGATTTTCCTAGACTGCCAGTATGCATAAACACTAATAGTTCCCTGAGTCGTACCATAAACTTCAAAGCATGCATTAGCATCCTGTGATGATGAGCCACAGACTGAAGTTGATGCTTCTGGATTTATGGTATAGGATATGGAGGCTGAGACTGCTATACCTATTCTGTATTTGAGCTAATAGAAAAAGAAAATCAAACAAAAAAACTCGGACATCCCAGCTTCCTTTTCACTCTTGTCTCACCAATATATTAGCTGAAGCATCTCCTATAATAGTAAGTGTAGGTCCTGTCTCAAGCATTGCTGATGCTTTCATATTAACATCATTATCCAAACGGCCAATGAATGCATTGAAATTCATTTGTCCAGATATTTGGCCAGTGAGAGTGAGATCCAGAATACCTACATAAATAAAGAAGCTACACTTTGTTCGGAAAAAAGGAACTGTCTTTTGCCATGAGCGAGTGAACTTATATGTCCTTGTTGTTGTGCTCATTGTATTTAAGAGTGTGGAACCAACTATCTTAATGTAACGCTTGTATGTCAAAGTGCTGACAGAGTTACGGTCTGGGAAGTTTCTCACATATGAGAATATTATGTCAAGTGCAGTGTAAGTTTTTTTCCAGACCACAAGGTCAAACCTTGCTCGTGCATACAGTTTGATACCAGGAATACCAACACCTCCAAACCCTCCTGCTGCTATGTCAGCATGTATTTCAGGATATCCAATCTCCGTGGCCCACAAATATCCTCTGTGATATGGATATTTAGAAACATCTTGATGCCTCCCAGACCTTGAGTGTACCAGATTATAATTAGAATTAGATGTTGAGTCCCAGTCTGAAGTAGAAGCTCTCTTTTTACGATCAACACCATCAGTAGTAGTCTTTGTCTCCAGACCTTCTCTCAGTCTCTCACTTGAGGCTTTATCTTTTATTGCAATGAAGTATTTCTGCAATATTTTTGTTAGTTCATGGTCATTGTACTTGATGCCTGCTTGAATGAGTGAGGTTTTAAGGTCCTCATTGACAGTAGAATCTTTCTTTAATTGTGAT